CTGATTGAAAAACTCAAGAGTTCCATCGATGCAGGTTGATATAAATTATGGTTATGTTTTATGGTTGCCAAAGTGATCTCATTAAGAAATATCATATTTTTTGTGTGACATGAAGTTCGACGTATTTGATGCTCGTTAGTTTGCCTGTTGGGTCCGTTGTTGTATACTTTATTCTCATTTGAGAACGTGACAATACTTACCTGGATTGGACAAGCTTTACATAGTCGGTGTCGTCGATGAAGCAGAAGAACCTTACTCTTCCGAACACTTGGTCTTGTACTTGTACTTTTTCAGGAGTCTCCGTGTAAATCATTCTTTTATTCATATGTTCCCTAGATTTATGGAATGAGTTTGAATTATGATTATATTGCTATGTTGGTATTTTTGATGTTTTATGGACCAATACCTCAACCTCCAATAGATATGAAACTATTTGGATAGATAAATAAGACAAGAAGCGAGAACATGCATAGCTAAGTGAAAACATGAATATACCCTGAATGGGCATCTATAAAGTTAACAATGACATTGATGAAAAAAAAAACGATTAAGACACGAACCACCCAGTGAAAGGGCAGGTAGTTATCTCTTATTTTAAAGGTTTGTCAGTAACAATTCAAAGGATTTACCGTAGTCATGGTATTGCAACATCTATGAAACCTCACGAGACTATCCGAAATGTCCTAGTTAACCAAAGCGAACGTCACAGAACGCGTATACAAAATCGGATGCAATCACTGCGACACATCGTTTATCGGAGAAACGGACTGGAGATTCAGAGTATGCGATACTGAACAATCAGAAAGACATAGGATTCAAAAACGACAGAACATTCACCATATGAAAGCGAAGGTATTTCCATCCCAGATCAATGAATTGTTAAGGATTCACCGCAGCGGATTAGTACTTAACAAGTGCAAAGTTGGGCTCTCGCATATATATGACAAAGTGTTAAGCAAAGCGTAACCGAGTCGACTATGTACACTTTTACCATCATCTATAATCTGTTTACCATTATGTTTACATGATGCTAACGTGCACTTATTATCCATTATAAATCGATTCAGCTCTTCACTGACTCAAAATTATTCCCATAATAAATATATTTTCTCATATATATCGCTATTGTTCGAGTTACCTCCATTCTAAGTACAACACATCCCTCAAACGAATGTCGGTATTGTTATGGTTTCCTCCCTTTACATGTACAATAGATCCATTATGTATCGCTAGTGCGCTACTGTAAATACAACACGTTTCTAAAGCGAAATGTCGGCTTTATGACACTAACCCCAATTTTACATTGTACATATATAACCAGTTCACGTTATCATTACTACGGGTATTAGCATGATAAGTACAAGAAGTCAATTATATAGCGCTAATGCAGCGCTAACGAGTCCCTTTTTTATAGAACAGTAAGTCCCTCGACAGTAACTCAAATTTAAATACAATGACTCCCTCCAACACGTGCATATATTAGAGTAACCATGGTTTTAAGAACAAGAATTACTTCCCTCACCACTGTTATTATTTCAACACTCCATTGAAATACAATAGATATCTTACATGTGAGTATAGATATCATTACAGAAACCTCAATTTAATACAGAATTAATCCCTAATGTGTCGCTATCATAAGTTACCTTATAAAATTTAATCTTTTTGTGTCCCAATATATACAGTAACACACATTATGATAAACAAGAATTTTCTTCTGTACTGTTATACCTACAGCCACTCGAAACAGCAATACTTTAATTGTGTCGATATACTTAATATCTAGACAATCGGATGTGTAGTACTGTTCACATGTGTATTACAGAGTGTGGTAACATACACGTATACAATTGTGATTTAATCAAAATAATATCTTTGATAAAATACAACAATATGTTCTATCGTTTAACATGTCACTAATTAAGTTGCTGATTAAATCAACATTTGTGTAATGAATATACAAGTTGTGAAGCGCGGTATTGCTACTAGTCTACGGTACGATATAAAAATGTGGTGTATATAGATACGACACAGATATCTACCGCCGTGATCTGAATTAGAAACAAACTAGTCCCCCAAACCTACATACCCGCATAGTGTGACGTACATTTGGCCATAGTATTGGCTAAATACCGCTTTGTCTTATGATTTGATTAAATTAAGACACGGGGTACCTGCGTGCAGTCTGTTTCAGTCATTCCGTTTTTATTTCATTTTTTCCCGCTGATTAAAATTCAGAATATAACATAAATGATGTATATTAATACCAATTTCCATTTCTGAATTTGTCCGTTTAGGAAGAATGCTTTCTGAGGCCCAGCAGTCCCCTAGTCTGGCCTCCTATCAACAGTGCCCCTGGTTATAATACACTGTATATCTACCGATGTCTTTCAGTTATAAGCCCGTCATCATCGCTCCGGTAAGTACCGCACTCATCACCTATTGTAGATGTAAAACTGAAATTTTAAGGTATTTTCTTGATCATGAAAATATTAAGTTCCATCTTAAAACAACATCAACATTTCGTTTGTATTCTGTTTGATATAAATGAACTTGACACTAAATCGGCTATCATTATTTTATATAATGTTTCAATAATTAAACTATAATCGATAGATATTCAAACGATCAAAAAGAAATGGGCAGTTGTTATGTAATATCTACAGAAAGATAAACGATACAATATGAATAAAGTACGAACCCACGACCTATATCATTATACATTATTTCACGCCATATCTTATTACTATTTGAACATGATATCGACACATGTGGAATACGCATTATACTGCTAAATAACTAAGGTAACATTGAAGTATAAAAGTAAAGAATATGAAGATTAGCTATGCATACTAATCGTTTCATAGGATGAAAATGACAAAATATTTAATTATTTTTTGCATTAGGCGCCGTACATAAACATACTTGGAATAGTAATAACTATGTCGGTATGTAGCGAACGTCGTATTAGTAATCTTTTTGTATTGGGTACACGACAATGCGTATACCACTGGTTTGTTAACTTTATAGCTGGTATATTGTTACATATGTATCAGTAAATGCACGGGAGTCATACGCAGAAAATTTGAGAGAGATCTTCCAGGTAAACCGGTTATATTGTTCTTTTAAAAGAGAATCAATGTTGATATCACGCGAGTTAACATCAACACTATAAAAACTTAATCTTAAAAAAAAAAAAAAAAATGCAAACAAACAGGTGTCAGCGGTATACGATTCTTTCCAAGGAAAAAGAAAGCCATATTATTGAACTATTGTGTTAATATTAGAAAACGGTTCGAGCTAAAGAGCACATGTTACGACAGTATTACGTATTGTCCTTCGCAGTCTTGCTGGCAATGTGATATATTTGTTATTGAAATAAGTCAGAATTAAACACGAATCGAAAAAAAATAATTCAAGTTGACTATACTTTCTATTTCATGTCACACAGGTAGACCATAATCCTATTTAGAGCATGCTTTCTGTGCAATCAGCCGGTGAAAATAGTCGATAAAATTATTGATGTCAAAATTTTTGCACCAAATACAGCATAAACGTTGATGTTTTTTTTATACATTCACGTTACAAATCGCAAGTAACTGAAGCAATATAAATCGGCTGTTGAAAATTTGATGTTGATCGAACACGATATTGATTGTTTAGATCTAGCTAAGAGAAACCAACCATATGTAATTAATCCAAAACCTAACCTATTCTATGAAATGTTGTAACAACGTACACATGTAAAAATATCATCTATATATTTATATATATTCGGTCTGCCCAAAAGATTTTAAAAGATATCACTTGATAGCTTGACAGCAAATATTTCTTATTTCAAACTAAAAGAAAAAAGTGAATTTAGATATTTAAAGAAACCGAGATAATGTATGAATATATATCATACAGCTGTCTCGTCCAGAAATGACTATTTCTTTTGATACTAGGGATAAAAAGAGTGGATATCCTTAACAACATTTATTTACAACATTATTTAAATATTTATTGTCTGCTTTTTAAAAAAACTGTATGTTTTATTCCTCTGTCACACTTATAAGTATTGAGATTACACAGTACCATGCAAGACTATCTTATCGCTTCGCAGCATAAACTACAATGCGTTAATGTACCATTGTCCTTAACCATAGAAATAGTTTAAAGGTGTTAAATGTGTATACATAATTTGAAAGAATCAGATTATGAACAGTTTTATTTTAACTATTAGGTGTACACAAATACCGGTATCACAAAAGATGTAATATTGAGTGTTATCGAGTATCAACAAAACTATGTATTTTTGTTTGTGATTAAAGTAGTGTTTTGGATTTCTTACATCAAGTTGATTTTATCAAAAGGTTATAAAACGTATAAAGACTGTTTTTAATTATATTAAACTCCTACAGAACCCATCCACCCACTCACTCCTCGTCAGCCCATCTCCCCCACCCCACTCCCCCACTTTACGAATTCATATTCACTAGAAAATCCTCATACTTTACTCTTTACACTATTTTGAAAACAGCAGTCGAAGTGAGATTAAGGCTAGTCGTATATAATATCAATGAATCCATATATTTATTTTTGTCAATCCGATTAATGTCCTCATTCATTTCTAAAATAGGACAGAACTCAATCATGATTAGTCAGTTTAGTCAAATTAGCACGATAAAGCAAAGACAGTGAATGAATGTCTTCTTGTGAATAATATAGCATCAGTGTAATCCAGAGTCCACAAAACAAAACAAATAACCAAACCACAGAACCAACTTGAATGTAATTTTAAAAAATGAAGAATCTTTAATAACATTAGCTTATGTAAACGCAAATAGCCAGCTTTAGCATGGATGAAAACAATAAACATTAAAAATATAATACAACGCGGTTTTGATTTTCTTTGTTGTCTAGAATTATATTGACATATTTGTATTTCTGAACTTGCAGACTATAAAGAGAATCTGGAGGTAAAGAGAAAGATTTATGTGGTCTAGCTGCCAATTAACATGTCTGTATCTGGGCGAAGTTTCCCCTTCAGTGCCAGTTTCGGCACAAGCAACAGTTACAGTGAACAAGAGTGCACGCTACATCCCGGGAAGCCAATTACCATGGTATGTGTAACGTGTCAGGATGAACTGGTATGTCCCACTTGCATCAAGTCCGATCATCGGAAACACGAGTTCCTGGAGTTGGACGACGTTGTACAGGATCGTCAGAATCTCATATTCCAGCACCTTGACGTTTCTGAGAGCTCTCTCCTAAAACTGACCGACAACGTCGCCCAGGTTAATAAACGTTTAAGGGATTACAATGAGCAGGTGGATGACATCGTCCGTCAAATAAAGAGCCGAGGTGAGATAATCAAAAACAATGTGGACCGGGTCACTGAGGATCACATTCGAGAAGTAGAGCGAATCAGGCGAAAAAACGTTGACAAGCTAGCAAAGGTCGTCGACCAGTTGAAAAGACTTGAGACTGAAATTCTCAAATACAGCAAATCTGGCAAAAGCTTACCATTGTCAATGATAGATACGAGTCCAATTAGACAGGCTCTAGGCAAGAATGGAAATCGGCCACTGGCTAATGCATCTATACTGGAAGTTCCCAAATTTGTTCCAGGTGACTTCAATCTATTGGAGTTTCGCAATTTGTTTGGCGAACTTCGTAGAGAAGCAAAAAGTGTCATGGTTGTCACCAATAACCAGATGGAACAAGCCTACAGCTTTTTGTCCTCCAAAGACATCGGCTATCCAAACCCAGGCGCTGCTCTGGAATCACCCGTTCGGGTGTCGGAGCACGAGACGGAGGTCACCAACATCTGCCCCATCAACAATACGGAAGCATGGGTCGTATTGTGTGATACTGACGAGGTCAACCTCATGTCAACCATCAGCAAAAAACCTGTACAAGTCGTGACAACCAATGGTGTCGAGGTCATCGACGTAACAACTTCACCTGACAGAAGACGGACTCTCATGTGCTGCGCAGATAGAAGCATTAGAGAAATCAAGGGTATATACGGAAGGACGAAGGTCATTTTTTACACGGAGGCAGTGCCCTCTAGTCTGGTTGTCACGCGGGAAAACTTCATTATTGTGGCGTTCAAAACTGGAGGACTCATCATCAAGTTCGATTCGAGAGGGAACGTACTTCACAAAGTTCGGGGTTCTTTAGTGGGACGAATCGACTTTGATAACACCCCAAAACCAATGCGATTAAGACAGAATCCCCGGAATGGGGATTTGGTTTTATTCAACAGAGGCTCAGGATACGTGACAGTGATGGATAGTGAAATGCGCATACGATTTCACTCAGCCTGTGGTAAAAACCAGGTAACGGGACAGTTCGTGAAAAGAGGAGGGATCTCGCATTTCATGGTGGTCGATGCATGCTTTGACTCGCTTGGCAATATTTACGTTATTGATACACTTCGGTCTGCAATCTTGGTTCTGGACAAAAGAGGATCGATTCTAAGGACTGTGATGAACAGACAAGAGTACGTGCCGCGCCCCACGGCTATAGGTGTACAACCAGACGATCGCGTATGGCTTGGCTATGAGGATGGTACAGTGCAAACTCGGGAGGCCAACACGTTATAATATACATGAACGTTCACAAATCGACTTGTAAACAGTGATCCGGCAGGGACAATGTTAAGTGACATTTGTAAGATATTACGACAGAGGAGAGATGTTTAAAACTTTAAAACTGCCATGTATTCAGAATTGAAGTATGTTTTTATAACTCTTCCGTCGGTTTAAAGGCCTGTTCTGTTCAATATCTGCTGATTGCCCCATTTCATCATGTTTTTTTTTTTTTTTTTTTTTTGTTAAATGTGGTAAAGATATTGCAAAAACTCGTGATGCTACTGACTAGCAGTAAAGCGTCCGAAAGATAAACTATCAATTCCGAAAATTGAACAATGTTATCTTCGATTAAAACCAGCCACAGTATTATTTAATATGGAGATATCAATAAATACGCAGTGCTGATGAAAAATTGAATACCTGAAACATTCATGTTGGAATGAAATTGTTTTGTATTGTCGTGTCAGGAATTAATAGTTGATACTCTTATATTCTGTACAAATAAAAAAAAAAGTTAAATAAATCAAACACCTAGTAGTGTTTTCTTTGTGTAGACTCGTCTTATTTACTGATGTTTTATTCATACATTTTTCTAGGCAACCGATGGCGATCAATTTAAAAACAAACCACCATTAGTCGTGAGATGTCTGGTCGGTTAATCCAGCCGGACAGAAATGAATTACTGTGGTGAACTGCGATTGTGTTACCTGTTCCGGATTCTATGTTTTTCTCTTTGTTTATTAGTCCCGCCGTCAATTAGATGAGAGAAAGTTGTATATATCTTACGCTAAGTATTGATAAATACACTTATGACATCACAAGGTAATTAAAGAGATATATACGTGCCTGAATAAAGCTTTTCTGTATCGTTCTGTTGACCTGTAGTACCGCGATAAGTTCCTGTAGACTACGGAGGAATATGTTCCTGAGTTAAGGTTTCACTTCTCTCGTGACCGATACATCACTTTATACGTAAGCTGGGTACAATATCATTGGGTCTGTCCGTTGTTCACGAGTCTCTGAAGTAGTGAGTGTTCAACATAAGTGAGTACTCATCACGAGTCTCTGAAGTGTTTGGTTGACACGGTAGAGAAATCCTGATACCTCAAATAGGGAATTTATATCTTTGCTCAAGGAGCACTCAGTTTTGTATATAGTATAATTGATAATAATCCTATAGTTGTTTAGTTGTCATAGAGTGTATTCTTTATTGAGGATTGCTGGAACTGTGCAACAGTTTTATGTCATGCTTTATAGTTATAGAAAGTTATACAAGCTAGACAAACTGTCAATTCATAATACCTGTATATATTTGTACTGAGTGATGTTATTACTACATTAGACATTGTAAATCAACTGTAACGATAGGCACAAATCTTAGTTGGTTGTATCTATGTGTTTCCATAGTTACACGTCTCTTTCCTCTATATACACAGAAGGGTCACATTCTAACCTCTACGGTATAGTGTTATCTGCTAATATTTTTATATTACATGAATGAGACCTGCGTAGTTTTGTAGTTAGAAATCTAATTAAGAAACAGGTTTTCGTCACTCCATAATACATCATGCATTGTTAAGATAATTGTTTTAATCAGATTGTCGATGTAGACTGATTAATCTTTGTCGTTGTGAAATTGATAAAATCTTCTGTTTCGGAGCGACTACCTAGAAAAGATTGTTATAATTTTACAATAGTGTGACATATGAAGATAATACATCATCTTTATCTATAATCTACGCCAACTTATTGACAAATGATATTGATGATTGTACAAGAATGATTTGCAACGATTACTTTCGAAATCGTTTGACGCCGATTTACATTCGTAATTATTTCACTAACAAAATCAATAATGTGCTCTCAAATGCATTCATTTCATATAAAATAAAACATTATTGGAATATTAAAATTGCTAACTACCATAAGAATTGCTTTGTTTCAATGACTTGATTGACTTTAAATGTATCGGATTCAGACATGATTGTAATGTCATTAAAAATGTATGTTGGAAGTAGGCGTTGACAAGTTGCAATAACTAGTGCCTAATCCATTGTCTATCTTTTAGCAATAAATATATTTAAACTGAACTTCAGACACTATATCTAATTTGCTGTTTTTTTTTCAAAAGTTGAAACTGGATATTTCAGAATTATTAAGCTCTGTTTCAAACCCTTGTATTCCCCTGAACTGTAGCTGTGATGGATTTATCAATATTGGAATCTACAAAAATTATTTTCAAATTGATAAGAATTTTAACTTCAAACAAGCTCTAGTTGTATCGGGAATCGTTACAAAAATGTCTCTAAAAATTCCCTTGTCGTAAATGAAGCTGATAGAAATTTCATCAAACTCATACACTGGAAATTCCAAGCGATCAGAGGCCTAGAAATAGCGCCAGTTGTATGGCAGTGTTCGTTGTGTCATAATCTGTATACGTATCATATATCATCTAAACCAGAAAAATATTTATTGTGACCAATTAAAGGCCAAGAAATTGTATCTATTCCGTTTCGCTAAAGTTGTAGTGGTGTTGAAAAAGTAGTAACGTACCTACATACAAACTTGCAGCTAAATGAGACAATATCAACTAATTAGCAGCTGTTGTGGCAATCTTGGATCGATAAAAACGTTGTAAACAACCTATACGGTGAGAAATACTCACCTGAAATGCCATTTAAGAGACATCAGATCAGATATCAGAACGAAAAATGAATAAATGAAGCATATAGTTGTATAAAAAAGACAAATAGACAAGCACAACTTCCTTGTGATCATCTAGACTCGCGAGAAGTTTCGTTAAGAAAGTAAAAAAAATCACTCTTCAGTTTGTCTGGTGGACGTGAGGTTTTTTCTAGTAACATCGATACTGATAACGATTGAAAAAGTGGGCTATAAAATTGACATATTAAATGAACATTAGCCGGCTGTGATAGTGCTATCAGTTGCAATCGTCAGCTCTATTTTCCTTTTTGGGGCAAGGCATATTGAGTCTTATCTGAGGTCTCTTTCGAGGTTTTGCTTATCTAGTGCTTGGAACACGGGATAATAGGTCTCTGTATTTGTACCAACAGACAATGTAAGTACCCTATTCATTTACGCACAGCCATGTCGTTAAATCAGTATAGAAACACGGTGGTGCACAAAAGTTTGGTAGAACAATTGATAATTAAGAATAATTGTCGTATATTATTTCCTTTGAGATCTGAAATGAATTTCTGTGCTTAATAAACAAACCAGCAATACCGTTTACAGTCAAATGTTAGAACCCAACTTTTTGTATCAGATAAGATTAACAGCTATAGACTGGTGTTCTTTAACAACAAGTAGATATTTTTTACAGCTGACCTATAGACATGTTGTTCTGTGCTTATTCCAAGTGTTTCTATATTTGTTGTTTCATACAATATCATTTTTCTGTATAAGTACGATGCATTGATGTTTTTTTCAGATGTTGTTCCTGCTTGTTGTATGCGCACTAGCTGCGTCAGTGTAGGTATATTGTTCAATTTTTCCTATCGTAACTCTCAGAAATTATGGCGAAACAATATGCAGTGACTTAACATATCTACTATCGTAGCTCCTTCTTTATGGTACATAGTGAAAGTATTGTACGTGTATCTTCATATATACATAAAAGTATGCCTTTGTGAAAATGTGTTGTTAACTGCAAAAGAAAACAGCACGTGTATGATTAGGCTGAAAATAGTTACTGTACGGTGCTAATGGGATCGAGGAAGCATAGGAATGAATCGTTTGTTAATAAAATGTTCTCCTTTAGTAGTACTGAAGAGTCTTTGATAACAATTTGTCTGAAACACCCTGAGATGCAGAAAATTTAAATAATTTGTCCTGTAACATGCATTTATGTACGCAATTTATGTAATATGTGTATCATGAATCAGACACACAAGTTGCCAATGCTTTCAACAGAATACTTAATTAAATCACGTTGTTTGAGATCTACATTACAAACAAAACAGACTGTCGGATTCGGAACCACAAAGAGAGGTGATCCTGTTTGACAAAGTGGATGGTGACCAGGACGGACAACTAACTGTGTCAGAACTAGACAACATATTCCTCGCCTTTGATGTCAATCGTAACGTATCTTTCTAATTTTGTTTACTAACATCATGAATATTGTCAATATTTTGTTAGGACATGTTATTATATATAAGGAGGTTTTCAGTAATAAGAAATATACTTCACAAGTGTGTCTTCTATTTAATATCTTTTCACGAGTGAAATATATGTGTTATTACTAGAGACACTATTTCATATTCTAGTTATTACACTTTCACAGGCAAAATAACCAAATTTACTGGCATATTTAGGACATATACGGACAAAATTTGCCGTGGAAAGAGTTTAACCAGTGTCAAGTTACTGACAAGCTGAAGATATCGCGGCAACCTAACTGTTTATGACACGTATCCTCTTGAAATGTCTAGCGCAGAAGGTGTCCGGTTGGGGACTGGGTTTGATCTCTGTTAAATTTGAGTTGCATTGTTTGCTGACTTTCATAAAAAGGACAGTTTACCACGGAAATGAAATGTAAGTCTGCGAAAGTGGTATTTTTCATTACTGAAAAGTAAAAAAAATGTGTTACTTTTCACTTGCGAAAAACAACACTTTTATCAATGAGACATTTCTCTGACAAAATGTAATAAAATGTCGATTGCTACTTTGATAGTGTTACAATTTCAATGTCTTCCAACTTATTACATTTTATGCACGATCCAATATCAATATCTCTCTTTAAAAAACAAAACTGTTGTGATTTTAGGAAGTATTCATTTACACACTGAATTAGAAAACTATCGCTCGACCAAATAAAGAGGCAGAATAAACATCTCACCTAACCTTAAAATGAAATTATTCGACATTCCTTATAGAAATATGCGAAGGGTTCCGAAATGCATCTTCTTTTCGAGAACAATGACATCAACATACTGGACACTTCATTAGAACATTTCTCAGAGAGATGATTATAGTTTATGCAAACAGCGTCTATACTTGTTATACTGCCATGCCATGGATTCCATGTGTGTTTTTTATGCAAATTATGACTTTGATGGAGAACCCTCGTCGTTTATATGCCAACATTACCTTATAATACACGTCTTGATAGTTATATGCTGTATATCAGAAAAAAAGGTGAAAACTACGTTTAACAGTATGCTTCCGACTTTCAGACGACCGTGAGGTAACATCAAGTGAATTTGAGAATGACTGGACTGTACTTTACAATCTTGGAGCCCCGCTAGAGGCACGCACACTGTTCTCTAAGGCTGACACCAATGACGACGGTCATATAACCGCACAAGACCTCCCAGAGATTTTTATGTATTTTGACATGAACAGTAAGTGTTATAAATAATTAAAATACGTAAGATTTTCTGGGAACCATTATGGTTTTATATCTTTACAGATTCGACGGTGTAACGAAATCCTGTATCGTAACCCGGGTCTTCGAAATACTGACATTCGAGAAACGATATGTCTGTGTTACTTCTGATCCAGCGGACACCAATCGACGTCAAGAGATGTCTACAGTAAATTTTTAATATATGGTTTATATGTGGAAATGTTACAAAGACACCGCGGATTCTTCTATATCAGTTGCTTACCTCGCTCTTTTCCAACAATGAAACCAACAATGAACAGTTTTCCACCGAGCTATATGATAAACGTGATGATTTCAATTTCCCTAGAGTGAATTTTCCATTTCTAGGAAACAATATCCCTGCATCTCCAACCTGCGGTATTTACATGCTACAGTTGATTAGATTTTCAAGGGCTTTTTGAATTTGAGTTTGGATTATGATTTTGTTGCGATGTTGTTATTTTCTTCTTGATTTTTTTTTATCCGAATACTTCTGAATCTATCCCCAATTATAGGCGATTCATCCATTAGTCTTGACGAATTCCTGACTCAGTGGGGAGATCTAAAGAATGCACCGGTTGACAACGTTCACATGTCTGTTGCCACTACGTCAACACCAAAACCACCCAGCTCCAGTCAGCCACACTAAAACCGCCACCCTATCTCCAAAATATCTGTCGTAAATAACATATCATGTAAAGAAACCTTTTGAAATAAACGGTTTCTTTCTCATTTGACTTGACGTTTTGCTTCATACATTTTGGATTTCTAGTGATTCACTTACATCGTCGCACATGACGTCTCAAATTCTATATACGGGACTTTCATTCTTCTCAATATGTTTAGGGACAAATACAAATGTTTTTGAAGATGAAACAAAAAAAAAATTATAATGAATGTAAGTAAGATTATTTACCGCACTAATTATTCAGATGTTTAAATATCTTTAAACAATAGAACCTTACATTTTCGTAGGTAAAATAAACTTCATTCCATTTATTTTAGAAGAATCATATGTTTTATGGTATTTGTCAGATGATGAGAAATGTCAAAGCGATATCGAGAGGTACTTTCACGATTTTATCTAAGAGACCTTGGAGAAGCCACACATTTATGTCGAAATTGACTGATCGCATCTGAAAAGTCATTTTATTTATACTATCGCAGCTCACAGATTTCGCACGATCAGCAACACCATCTGCCTGTCAGCACATTTTATGAAGGTCTGACATCAACACGTTTCGCTTACCTTCAATTTATTATATTTCGAATCGTAAAAGAATTATTATTATTCATTGATTTATTTTTCTTTAATAACACGGAATAACATATATACAGCTTGCTTGCAATCTTACCTTTCAGCTGTTTTGAAGAAGTCTTTATAGCATGCTCATGCTTATTTTGCGAAGCTAAACGTGTTAAAAATATACCTGCAATGATGTTATTCTAACGTTAGACTGATGTTTTCGAAAGGATGAGAAGTGACCAAACAATAATGATTATGTTCTCAAGTTTGGGTTACAATGTGAGATCCTGGGAATAAGTTTGAAATATATGCCTTATACTTGATATAGTCGCTTTGCAATGAAATAAGAATCGATCTGTCTTTTAACGTCGTCAAATTATAAATTGATTCGGAACATAGCATAAAATGTAAACGCCCGCTTTTTTTTCGTAAATCTATTTTTTGCGCTCTTCAAGCGGCAAGTATTGCGCTAAATCATGACTGTGTTCATTGTCTCTTTTGAATGCTGTTATATGTTTAGCAATTATTTCCGATGCGCGAAATAACCATTGGGCTAATTTGTCAAAGACGTGATAACGCGCTAAAATTTGTTTTCGCTAGATTAAGCATGTTTAATGTAACTAATATATTTTAAGTTAACTAAATCTATACCAACCTGTTTCCGCACTCTCTGTTTTAGTTTTTAATCTGAACCTTGATTTGCATTATGACAGGTTATGTTCATAGACATTTACTTATTGAATGTTTTTGTATTACCCTAATTTGTATTATGGACCTAATGTTCTTAGCATCCTAATTTTATATTGTAAAACATGAATAGTCACCAACGGTATATCATTCTGGATGTCAGCACATCAGAACAAAAATCAAGAATGAAAGATACAAATAAAAGAGAATCACATCAGGAAACTCCCACGCAAAAAGCATGGAGAAGACAACCATGACAATGTACCCCTAAAAATGAAGCATGTAAATAACAACTTCCGTCATCTAAATATTTATAGTAACAACCACAAACGTCTAAAACACATGTTAAGGTTCATAATGTGTACGTACAGCACTCATGCGTCATCAGCATGTTCACTCAAACAATTGTCCTTAACCTGTCGTGACTACGTGTAGTATATACGATAGAACAATCTTTGGAAGACAAGAAAACTGTTTTAACAAATTAAGTTTAACTACAATTTTCCACTAAATTCTATCTTACACGGACTAAACATTGCGAGACAAAGCGTTTATGTTGATGTTTTCTTGGACGTTGATTCAAATGATAGCAAAGCTGGATAAATAACGTATTTTATACATTTAAAATAAAACCAAGACAACATTTTTTATTGAACAAACACTATTAATATTGCATCTAGTCATATAACAAGACTTGTGAAGTATATGATATCATCATTATCTTATATCTAATTGCTTTTAAGATATATTTTTGTAATGAGATAACCACATATTTCTCTCATGAAATCCAAATGTATTGATATGTTTCATTTGCACTTGAAATCAGATATTTATCCACTGTGAAAGATGATATCAATTCTTCTGAAGAGCTTTATGATTCATGTATTTCAATGAAGCATATTTTTCATCAAAATATATTACGCATGTAATGCATTTCCTTTTGATCACGAAGACAATAATTGACGCGTTTTGCTTTCCGAATAAATGTAACATGACTTCCGCATTTATTCCATGATGACAATGCTGTTATAACTAACTATACCATTGAGGTCCGACCTGCAGTCTTTCCAAGATGTGCACTTAGTCAGCGTTTTGAGAATAAAGTGCAGACAGTCCATTAGACAATGTGCTTGGTCTTTTATCAGTGGTTTTGTCAACGATCGCCACTTGTTCATTTCACACAGTCAAACACAAGTCCTTCCTGTTGTCTGTTAAGTGTTGAAGTAACAGAATATCCGACCAGGTAAGAATATGTAATTAATGCAGTTAGTATATACACGTTTCCGTTTTATAACGTTTTTCATAAATCTTTTTACCTGTATGTTATGTCACAGAAACTATATCATGGTCTTTAGAATGATTATGTCCCTTTTCATACCAATGTTTGTATAGATAAGACATCGTGTTATAGCTACTGCTGGCTACACGAATGTACAACATATACACAATTATGATATTTTTCAGATGATTGGGACAAAGGGATATATTCTTTTGGTAGCGTGCGCTGTTCTGTGTGGGTAAGTACACATGTATGTTCATGTGTGCTATGGTAAAAAATAAGTGTACCATGTTACATTTCTACATTCCATGAAAGTAAAAATGTTAGTCATAAATATTGACACTTATATCAGTAGGATTAGATATACTTTGATAAATGTTATTGACTACAATGCGGATGTATGATTACAAGTATCATCAATCACGTTATAGAGTAACATTTACATACGATATGTAAGTAGTGTATCTATAATTAAAATTACATATCTGAAATACTTGATCGGTGACTTGCATATGTATGTCAATAAAATGAATAATTGTCTGCAATAGGATAATGAATGACTTATGGTGTAACAATAAATATTTTTCTTTAACCCAATTATGTGAACATGAAATTAACATCTTACTGATGAATATGCCTTGATGCCAATTCGTAATCTAGTCTTTTGATGTACACATAGGTTATCTTAAACACGTGATTATAAGTATATGTTAATGTCATTTGTTGGCAAATGTAAAGCACTATGTAAGTAAGTAAGTATATATGTTAATAAACTTAAAATGAATTTATTGAAATACGAACATTCTTATTTTTTTTAATCCGTTTCGAATGTGAACCAGAGTCATTTACGTTTTTTTTTTTTCATCTGTGGTATTTGAATTGAAATTACAAAATGTAGCGTGTATACAAATAACCAAATAGGCAGGCAACAATGCTCATTTGAGGTGTTTACATGCCTGTGAAAGCGATTTTCTCAGGGCTATTTTATCACTCTGTATTATTTTTAATTCTGTTTTAATTTAGTGTATTAAGTCACCCTGACCGTCCCGCCCTACCAGACAGCCCAGAGGCGCGTGAACTCTTCCGTTTGGCGGAACAAAATAGAACCAATGATGGCTTTCTCACAGAGGCCGAAGTTGACGACATATTCACCGACTTTGATCTAGATAGTAAGTTTCACTTCTTACAAACAGATACCATGCTTCTGACAATCATTACTTGTATCTAAGACTAAATAAGCGCTTGATTGCATGATACAACTGTCATTAAATCAGATTTGAGAATGAGTCACCGAAAATCGATTACTGATTCAAACATGTTTTATTCATTTAGAAAACAATCAAAGGGATTGGGCACAAGTTCTGAAATTTACTAAGCCCTCTCCTGAATCGACTGCTTGTGAATCAAAGTGTATATGTCAGGCATCATACTTACTATATACTTCCTTTTGACTTGTCGATAAATGCTTTATACCATTAAATTTAAACTGTTGTTTTTTTATCTATAATTTAACCACATTTGGACAACGACAATACATTTTAACAAAATTTCAGGGACAACGAAATGGTTATCGTTCAATGAGATTCAATTATTTAGACCAAATGAACTCCGAGAAAAGTCTAGTTCATCGAGAACATAGTTTTAAATGAAAATTTAGGTGAACACTATCAAGGTTAAATAGTTTATCATAACTTATCAGTACAATGTACCTTCTGTCTGCATATCTTGTAATAACGTTTAGTTGCGCCAAAGACCAACACAGTGCAAAGGTCATCAGTCAGACAATTTATAAATATGAATCAATGTGGCAAACTTTTAATTTGCACATGAAATATTTTAAAATATGAAAAAATAAATCAAAATCTGATTGAAATACTCGACAGAGCTTACAGATATCTTCTTTTAACCATTCATGATCAATGCATCGGTATACGAAAATAATTTACAGCATTCAAATGTATGTTTTTCCTCTTGAGTATTTGTCAACTTTGTTTGTTTCCATATTGCAGTGGACGGGGATGTTAATGAGGCAGAGTTCTTGCAGGTTTGGAAGGACAAACATTTAGGGACACCGGAGAGTGGCATGACGCTCTTCAGACACGCTGATACAGATCAGAACGATGTTCTTTCACGAACACCAGACATGAGCAGGGTGTTCTACTACTTCGACAGAAACCGTTAGTGAACACTTTTTACATTTTTTCAAGATATTATGTTGATGTTGACAAAATCAATTTTTGGTAAGTTGTCATTAATAAGCAAAACATTAAGGATAAAATCTGTTCAATGAATCTCATATACTTCGGAACAATAAGATTTGTATTAATCTACAGGATAGTACATCATCACTTTAGTTCAATCTGGAGTTATATATTTCAGAGGATTCCAGAGTAAGCCAAGCCGAATTTGTAACAGTCTGGATAGAAATGTCCCTGTAAAGACATCGCCAACCAAAGGATACAGTCGTGAACATCATATCACATTAGAATAATTAAACAAGCTTTTGCGAAAAAAAAATAAAAATCTTTTTGTTGCCAGCATATGTTTCAGTTGAAAACGCTTTATGCGAAAGGTTTAAAGATAAGTAAAAAACAAACATTAACACTCATAAGCAGATGGCAAAATACAAAGATAATTGACAACGAACAGACATCGGGGGTTAGATAGAAAATATTTTCATAAAAGAGCTGCTAACAGCTTTCCGACCGAGTACGGATTAAAAGCAACAGTATTGTGATCTCTGATAACCTTGAATTTCAACCGATACAAAAAGAACCAGGTTTTCAACATATGGTATTCATTTTATTATAAATAAGACGATCAACAACTAGTAAAATAACTTGTGCGACATTAGTATTCAAGTATGTACTAGTTAAACAGAATATAATCATGTAACATAGACTGATCAAAAAGCATGCGCTATATCAACACACAAATTGCTGATAATTGACATATCTTTGGGAGGGGTAGGTGGGGGGTGGGTGGGGGGTGGGGGGTGGGGGGAGTTGTCTAAAGGGGAGAAATACTGAAATTGATCTACTAAACAATCAATGAATCGGAATCAAACATGATATTCATGAAAACTACCACATGTACAACGTATCTATGGTAGAGGCTCATTTGCATAAATTTTTCTTCATTTCAATTACCGTTTGTGTTACCTTTTATACGTATCTATTTTTGTACATAGACAATTGTACAATTCTTCTTATTTTTGTTTAAATCATGACCACAAATTTATTACTAATAAGGATATTATCATATAATACTCATACCCCTTGCACCCCGACTCAAAAAGTACCACGTCTGGTTTGACATGGCATTTCTTCAGCTGTACGTTCATTAAACTTGCTGGGTTGCATCAATGAAATTTGGATTTCTGTTCGTCTTTTATTCGTCTTTGCTTCAATAAACATGTACATACTCGCATACACTGAAACCTCATGAACATCCATATTAAACTATCAACTCTTCTGGATAGATTTCCCAAATACATTTCCAACATATGAACATCTTCTTAACTTTTCTTCACTCAAAATGTGTGTTAATAGATTTCAACAGTTTATAATCTACTGTTACATTAAGAAACAATGCTTTGCTTGACTTTGAAACATTATCAATATCAAAACAAGTAATTCAGTTACTGCGTAGATCATCCTTCATCCGTACATTTTTTTTACATTGGAAGATAAAAGATAGAATTAAAAACACCTACACTCATACTACACTAAGCAGCATGCTGATCATATAATTATAATGAGCTCTCATTCATGATACAAATCAGATAAACTTAATCAAAAGTAAAATTGCAAATATACCATTAAATAAATAACATTCATCCACTGTTCTGACCTAAACAGATTTAGTTCCCTCATAATCATACTGGATCCTGTCATTATTTCAGATAATATATTTCACTTGATCTAAAGTAATTAGAAAATTCCTTAAAATTCACTTGCTTGCAGAAGAACATCCTGATCAATATATCCTATCCTATACATTGATTGGCTGGTGTCCTTACATGCAATTTACTCCACATTTACTCTGTTACAAAGTTTCAGCATGTAATAATTACTACCACTGCATTATCAAGAAATAGACAGACAGACAGACAGACATAACATAAAATCACACTAAGTTATCACAACAGTTCAAGTCTTATTCCCACACGCTGTATCACTTCCTCAGGCATACAATACACAGGGTTCACATTCTTAATGTTTTCATTGCCCAGCAAAGACAGGCCACATACACCAAATAAAGTGTGAAAGGGGTCAACCTGCAAAAAATATATACACACAAATATAAATTTCAATATAATCTCTTTTCATATTCACATAGAAAATATCATTCATTCATGTCACTAACAAACAAACTTTTCTGTAAAACGTTCATGTCAATGACATATATCTTCATTAAGTGTATTGCTCCCCTTTAAAGATGTTTGGTTGCAGAATTGGTTTGACATCTGATAAGGTTATTAAAGTTACTGGCTTGCCTTGTTTGCTGACTTCCATTGAAATGAAAATTTATCAGGGAATTGAAAGTTGTCTTACAAGTAAACAACCCTTCAAGGTTTCTGGTCTTGTTTTTGTTGCACAAAAATGTAATAAAATGCTTTATTTACAATCAGCCTAAGATAAAATGACAAATTTCTGAGTGTGTAACTCACCACATCACCTGGTCTGTCAGATATGCCCCCTGTTTCATCATCTTGACATGCTAATATAAACTTCTCAAGCTTTTCCTGAAACAAAAGTATTTGCAATAACTCATATGGATAAAAAACTATTTTTCTTGTCTGAAAACCATGATCAGGTTATTTGTTATTCTGTTGACAGGAATAAAATCCAAAACTCTTAATGACACTATTGATTCAGATAATGAAAGCAAACCTGTAATCAGTGAAGAAAAAAGAACCTACAGTTGTAAATAAGGTAATAGAGTGGTAGACAACAGTCATATTAAGAAAGAAAGGTTTTCAGAATGAAAAGTCAACAGGAGAATTGGCACAAGAATTTCCAACATAGCATATAATAATGTAAGACAAAATGATAATACACAACATTAGAAATACCTTGTCTATCCAGTGGATCTTGCCAATAATTTTGAGAGAAGCAAGCACCCACCAAGAGTAACATACATCTGGCAGCTTTTCAGGTCGACCTGAAATCAAGATTTTAAAATGCAACATCATTCTTAAATGAAAAAGGTGTTTTTCTTTACTATAAGAATGTAGAAAGATATGTTCAATGAATTATAAAAATGAAAAAACATAATATTAGAAAGAAAATTTATTTCCACAAGTTATTATTTGATCACATTTCGTTCAAATTACTCACCAGTTGATTGATACAATACAGTCATGTTGTATACAATTCAACACAACACTTACTTTATCTATATGACAAAAAACAAAACTGACAGTCTTACCATTAAGGCCCCCTGAGGGAAGCTGGCGTTCACAGAGCCACCAGCCTAGGAGGTCAGCACTGATAAGGTGGAGGTGACCGGTGATGGCCAAGGTCCCCACACAGCAGTAGATCTGGCCAGCATGGGACTCACTGCCTGGGCGACATCCGAATCCACCGTCAAAGTTCATACAGGTCACCACAAATTCTATAGTGGTATCTACATCTATTGCATCCAGCCGACCCTTATTAACATACAATGAACAGCTACAGTAAAAGGCATTACATATATTACAAGGTACAGATTATTGCCATTAGAATAGCTACTCTCAATTTTGTTGCTATTCATTTTTTCCCCCACATTTTTCTGTTTAGCATTAAACTAAGGGAGCTAACTAATTTTTTATTTTCAGTGGAGTATTTGGGATTGTTGAAAATAATGGAACTGAATTTGTTTGCACTTTATAAAAAAAATGAACATATTTCATGCAAGTATAAAGTAAATAAACTGTACCTCACATTCCATAGTGTAAAAGCAAGTCAATACTGTCAAATTGTTTCAATAAAAATATCTGCTACATGTTGGTGCTACAAAATAGCCTCATGCAAGCTTAATCTCTGACCTTCTGACCTATAAAAACTACAATGGGACACAACAAAACATGTGAAAGTGACAAGTGAAAATAGTTTTGTATATTGTCAAATATTGTTTGCAGAATATATATGTATACATTTTTCATGAAATCAATTTCAAATTTAATTCAGGTCTTACCATACATTATCATTATGTAGTCCTGTACATCATATAATTATTTGACTTACCAGTAGTGATAGGCAGGCCACAGCACAAAAGGAAAATCTTGTGTCCACCTCGCCTGAAAATCAAGATGTTTAATCTCATCAAAATCAAACTTCAGTAGTTCTTACAGCTTACAACTTGTGTACATATATAATATTATAATATTATTATTTTATTATCATTATATTATATAACATGTTATATGTTATGTGCATTTTATTGTGTATTGATATGAGAACTATACAGGAACTGTTATAACTTGAAACTTTTCTGTATGTTTGTTCTCACCCCATTTGTCACCATAGAAACTGCCATCATCCTGTTGTAGAGAGCGAATATATTCCACAACCTTCTCCACATTCACAACATCGACAGCATCATATAGAGTCAAAATCTGGGAAACAGAGGAAAAAGTAAAATTTGAATCAAGAGAGAATTACTAATTTAAAAAGTACCAACCAACCATTGCAAAAAATCTCAATAACTAAATACAAATCATATATAGTATGGTTAATGTACCAGATACTTGTGACCTACTTGGCTGGTTTATTCATTGTATCAAATAACTGTGACCTTCTCATTTCGCATCACAAACTTGAGGGTTGTGACTTACCTGTAGCAGGTTTTACTTGAATTAGGCAGATATAGTGTTTCAGAAATAAGGGAGTGAGAAGAATCCCTCCTACATTGTGTATACACTGGGTGCAACATTTATAAGTTGCTGACTGCTGAGAAAGTGGGATTTATAACCTATTTGTATGGCATGTAATTGATATACAGTGGATTCAAGATAATCCAGATGTCAACAGTGCAGAAAATGCATAAACTGGATGGAAATGATGGAGAATTGATTTCTGTAATGTTAATTGTACTAATCAGTCAGGAAATTTAGATGCTGGTTATGGAAATATTTTAGTAATAATAAATAATAATAATAAACTTTTCAAAATGACAGTAGCCAGTATAATTTTTTTTTTAATGATAAGAAGAAAATCTGTTGTGTTCAGTCACCTGTATCAGAGGTGTACACCATGCCTCTTGACACCATGCATAGTCATAATGACTGCTGCAGATCATTGCCTGAAGCTTTTACTTCTGAAACTTGTGCTAGCGTTAACAGAACTTATATGCAGGCCCGTTTGAATTAATAGTAAAGGAAACATTGAAGAGAAAGTCTTAGTCCTTTCCTGTTTTCAAATGTATGATAATTAATGCTGAATTATCAAATGTTTATACATGTACATGACAAGTTCCATACAGAGAGATACGTTATTGTTGTTCCGTAGGATCATACGATTTTAAACGCTGATAGTATCAAGATTTAATATAAAGAAAAGATGTAATTTACATTTGATATAAATCTTAGGAATACAAGGGAAAACTTTAGAAAAAAAATGGGGAAATCCTTATTCAATATTTCTACTTATTTGCCACACCCTTTTTAACACAGGAAAACATGGTACAGATATCCATTGTATCAGTGATTTATAAGAAAGTGAACCAAAAGAAAAAAAAAATTATTGTTCGCTTTTACATTGCAGCATTTTATTTCTCTGTATATGAAGGGTACAATTGTAAGTGCTCATCATGCAGTAAAAAGTGACTCATCTGATTCCAATAATCGAATAGTTCCAGATGACAATAACTTGTTTTTGGCAAATAGAGAATTAGCATCCAAATTATGTCAAAAACATATATGAATACACTGTATACAATGCATATTATATTAAATTATCATTATTCCTAATTAATTAATTAATTCCCAATTATTATCTTATCCTATTACATTATTATATATTATAATAATTAGATATTTTTTGAGGAAAAGATCACAAGTAGACATTGAATGAGCCATCTGCAGTATCATATACAAATGAATAAAAACAACTTTTCTCTTGGAAAACTTTAATTCATATACAATTATCTAAAAAAAATAAAAATAAGACCATAAAAGACACTATATATAAATATATATATATGTCTCTTTGTAAAACTACAAAGACATTCTGAATATAACCAACAACATCATACTGACAACTTTATTGTGATATAATCAAGGGTGATAACTCCAGCTAGACTGGCCAGTTCTATAATCTGGACTATTTTGGCCAGGAGATCAAATGTGTCCAGATTATCACAGGCCCCTGGTCTGCTATCTGTGTACTGTGTGTTTAGTGTTGAGTGACATGTGTAGAAGAATGAGGGTTTTTTTTTGTGTGTGAATTATCGTTATATACCTGTTTTATAAACATTAACTTGAAAGTGTGTGCAGGTAACTTACCTGACTAGAATACATTAGAGAGCTAACTAAGTCAGTAAGTTTAAAGGGACATCATGGTAAAAACATTAATTTTATTTTTTATTACAAGTGCTTTTATATTTTCATTTATGTGTCTATGCTATCCCAATAGTCACATGCCAATGTCCAGCTTGACCACCTCTTTGGTTCGGGAAACCCCTCTCAAATTTAGCGCTGATAACATTATGAAGTATTTTTTGAAACAAGGCAATTCATTTTGTAAACATTAACACATGATGGCAGACAGAAAGAACAGTGACAGTTAAGTGACACACAGGGTTTTCCATAAGAGACGGTCGCCGGCCAATTTGACCGCCTACTTTGATAATTTGGCCGCCTACACCTATCCAGTTCCGTAATAATGTCCATACACGACTACACATACACGGCAGGCCAGCCTCCTACTTTTACTACACAGCTTACTACTAACACAATTATGGAAAACCCTGGACACAGTAAATAAAATCCCCTTTTTCAGTACTAGATTTTGTTATGGGTGTGGCAAAAGTTATTTGATAACTCTTAGTCAATTCAGAATTCGTAATTATGAACCTCTTTATGTGCATATTTCAGCTACCACCATGTGTCATTTCTCATAAGGTGATACACTTAATATAAATGCAATTTTAAAATAAAAATCAGTAAAAAAGTTGGGTTTACTGTGATGCTGTTTTAAGTACTGTGAGGACCTAACTATACAGCATTAATGTATGTACAGTGTTGTGACCTACCCATATAACATTTAGGAGATAAAGTTGTGACCTACAATGTATCCAAATCTTATTTGCACTAAGAGCGTACATGAGGAGTAGTCAAGACTTACTTGTATGACAGTGATTACAGGAGATTAAGGCAATGACCTTCTTAAAGAACAGTGACCATTGAAGATTAGGTTAGTGACCTACCTGTATTGCACTAAGCGTGTACAAGAGATGAGGGTCATGACCTATACTTGCACTGATTCCACCACACTCATGTTGACACTGCTGAACAAACTGTAGAACCTGGTCCTTGTCCATGCGATGAAGCTGTCCCATCAAATCCATCACAGTCAAGCCCCAGTACATGCCACTCATTCGCAGGTACTCTGTAATACAGTACTCCTGCAAATGTCAATACATGTATCATTGATTACAAAAACATTATCTATATATGTAACTTAATAAACAAACATCCCTCACAATGATGATATAATTACCTTCATAATTGAATTACAGGAATCAAAAATTTGTAATCTCATCATTGATATTTAAATTATATACAAACAATTCTCTCTTCTGTTTATGATACATATATGTATCATACAATACATTTTCTTTATTCTAATTGTAACATGATAATTTGATTTGTAAGTAAATTTGAAATAGATCAGTTTTCACGATATTATATCAGATCAGAAATGTTTTACCTACATGTCAAAAGGAACTATAGATTTCTAATTTAACCTATTAAAAACAAAACATCATGAAAGTGATACACACATACCTATATGACATAGGGCAGACCAGTACATATACTCACATAGTCATCTTTCTTTGTTCCATATGCAGCTATATAGTCACAATGTTTCTGTAGCAGTAAGGTTTTCTGAGCACTGTCTGGTATCACAACATCTTTTATTGGTGTACCCTACATTAAAGATTTATGAAAATATTAATAAAGGGCCAAAGACTAAAACTTTTGAGTACCATAAATAAATGCAATTCTCCTTTAGTTAGCTCAATGGTCGTGGGTTTCCTCCTCTCCTTTGGTGGAAGCACACTATTCTCTTTCCGGTAACAATCTTAATTGGATATTAATAGGAATAACCTGATCAATGCATGCATGTCATTACAACTAAAACAATCAAGGATTAGTAGGATTGTCTTTGTTTTTCCTTTTTGTAAGCACAATACTTAAGAACAATTGTTAAAAAAAGAAATTATCTTCACAAGATAAGGGCTTAACATGTACTTTATGTCACATAGGTAAAATTACAGGTATCTATGGAAACAGCCCAGGACATGTAGTGGCTTTAAATGCATGTCCTGTTTGGAGCTTTTTGTAACATATATCTATCTATTTGCATTGTAAAGTACGAGCCTAAGCCGTCTACACAAGTTGAAGTATTAATGTATCAGGTATGGCCAGCAAAGAATAACCTAATATCAAAACATATGAAATAATATCGCCCAGGAGAAACCAAACCGCATCAAGAGATCTCTCAGATTCTACTTGAGCGCTATACATCTCCTCAATAGACTACGACAAGTGTAAAATGTCTTTAAAATGATCGCGACGGTGGTCATGTTGTCATATTCAGGTGTGGTTAAACTGGATTATGCAATGAAATATGGAACACTCTTCTCAAAGAATTGACCATGTCCTTCAGGTGGCTAGTTTAACCGATATTCTAAGCATGTAAAGTTATGAAAATGCTTACCATGTCTGCTTTATATAAAAATTGTCATTTCATTTCGTCTTAATGTTTTCAGTAAGGAGAATCCGGATGTAGCATTTGGTTATGTAAACGTAGTAACTACAAGGACGAATATCCGGAATTCTGGAGGTGGACATAATTGTATACGCATAATCAATTTAGAGGTGAAAATGCTGTTGTTTAGGAGGCAATAAGATTTTTTATCCTTAAAAAGGTATATCAGATATATACACGATGTCTGATCGGTTTGATGTGATACAGTTGCATCAGAATATACCAGATAACGAGTGTGCATGTGTGACCCGCATGTGTGGTGGTAAAGTGAAGCCTACCCTTCAGGTGAGATTTTATTATTTAGATTCTCAAAGTTATACCAACCTTTAATATTTACAAATATATATAAATTGTGGGTTTAGTACTATTGTAGTTATATTTGAACATTTCTTTGTTTAGATGAGTCGTGACCGTCAACGAGTCCGTTTATTCACGTCGCTCTAGCCGGGAGCTTGTGACTTTAAAGCGTCGCGTGCCGTTGTTTTCTGAATCAGAAAAATATAAATTAATACAAAACCAATTAAACACCATACGATGTCTTTCGAGATAAAGGAAATATAGAAAAACTGTAAATTTGAAAAATAATTTTAAATTGATAATTATGAAGCTGCTTACCGATACATTGATATATGTACAAGTCAGCACAACACAAATATTTCAGGTGTGATATACGGATACAACACAATAGTTGTGTAGGTAAAATTATAAGACAGTCTTGTATTTAACCCCTTACAGATAAACCCTCATGTATGAATAACAAACTTGTATCTAATAGATTTACTTATACACAATGGATTGACCTTATACTGTCCAATGGAGGTAAATCGTACATAGACATATGTAGTTTCCACTACACTGCCTTAACATCATTAGTTTTGAGTGATTAGGATATGTAAAATTATGTCACGTGGTGGTAAAGTGATAGACGTGTCTTAAAAAATCAAATGATCAAGATTTTGTGTGTATTAGTGAAGAAAAACGAAAACTGAACACATTTTGAAATTTACGATTTAACTACACACTGTAAATTGCCATGTAAAAAGTAGTGTTTAAAAAATACAATGGTATATGTTATTGTATTTTCCAAATTATATCACTATACCATATCGATATCTACAATAAATAGATAAATAAATAAACATACTGCAATATGTACAACTGGTGTTTTTAAAATGTTGATAGTATCACTTTTAGTGCATTATTCACTGTCGTAATTCTGTCCTTACTGTGTCAAGTGAGGATTGGACCATTGGTCTTATTCTGCAATGAAAATTTATTTTTGAAAAAAAAAAGATAAAATCAGGAGTATTTTATTGTTGCACCATGTGTTGAGAGTATACAGTTATATATATATACATATGCTACAGTGCATGGCATAGAAACACCAGCAATTGTCAATATATATGTATTTCACTTTGAAGAGTTAATACTTCATGACGCCATCGTAACGAATTAGGTCTTCATATCTTCCCTGAATAGAAATCTTGTCTGACACACCTTTTAAGCAAATTTTATAAGATATGAATTGAAATAAGTCTTTTTCGAAATATATTTTATGGGTGGTAAATATAATTTACATAAATTAATGTCAACAGTTCACAACACTGTAAAATCTGCAACAGTACAGCGTAGTTTTTATAATGCTTTATTCACATCTTGTAAGTACTGTTTCCCTGTACTGTAAAAGTATACAATTCTTTGAAAAATAGGGTCAATGTTCCCTTTTCAGGGGATGATTATTTCATATTTTCTAAATGAGAGTTTCTATTAATGACACTTCTTTGAAGTTTTTTTTTTATTTTTAGCTTTTTTTTTATTGTTGCGTGTATGTTTTATATATCAAAATGCATACGATGTACACAAAGGAATTCATACTCTACATATTGCATGAAGTTAAGATTGTTTTACACAAAAATAAATTATTGCATGTGTAAATGTTTTTATTATTAAAATTTGAATTTAGCCTTAAACATATAAAACAGATTTATAATTGTATATATATATATATAAGGACCCTATAAATTATGGACACCAGACCAGACGATGATCATTGCTGTCATAACACCCAGGAACAGGAGACTAGTCAGTCCACTTCGATAACTGATAAAAATATGCAGGAAATGAAAGCGTCTATCAGAGAGCAGTCTGTCCGTGGTATGAAAGATGGAGATAACACAACATTGGACATTGAAGATCCTGTAAAGGTGAGGGAACGTGATCCTTTAGTAAGTGGAGATTTACGGGAGACAGTCAGTGCAGAGGATGGAGAGACTGATGGTAAAGAAGCTAGAGGAACAGTGGAGAGGTCTGATGAAGAAAATGATCCCGCGATAGAGGTAGAAGAAGAAAACATGGCCCCTGATGGAGGGTTTGGATGGTTCATTGTTTTGGGCAGCTTGCTGGTTCACCTCTTTATAGGTATATATTTTCAAAACTGTTTAATTTACACATGTTTAAGACTGATTTGTGTGTTTCAACTGTATTTCATTGATGATCGATCAAATATTTTTTATGCTGAAATTAATTGTTACTATTTCTGTTTTTATCTGGTATGTCAACGCCATGGCCAACCGGCCCGTCTTAGCATTCAGTCGTGTCCCTTCCCTTCCCGTACAATTATCACATATAAAGATCCTCTCAATGGACTTCAGCTATAATAAACAAAGTAAATGTTGTATTTCCACAAAGTATCATAACACCACGTCTTACAACTCACACGGTCCTGGTTTTCATAGGAGCCAGGAACATTCATGGCTGTTTTATTATTACATATAAACTTTTTTATTGGACTATCAATATCATCCATGTAATTGCTGTATATGCAATGATTTGAACAAGAGAGACAACTTTGTTTTGAGTTATAACAAACACCCTTTGATGTATTAAATATTATCATTGCAGGAGGAATAGAACGATCAGCTGGAATTATATATCTAAAGTTTGAAGATAAATTTCAACAGTCTGCTGCCGCTACAGCCTGGGCAACCTCTATCCCAGCAGGTTTGAGGTTAACTCTTGGTACGTTGACTTCCGATACTTATACTTAATAGTGTAAATGTTAATGATTGTTTTACTGTTTTACCGAAAGCTTCAAACAAAACGGGTCATTTTTTTGCCTTAGTCATGTAATGACGAATGAATGGTTTCATTTGTAAGTTTTTTCACCCACTGGCCTTCAAAAATAAAGTTTACAGTGCCTATGGGTAACGGGTTTCTTCATGAAGTTACAATTGTCTTGGCAACGCCAAGGAAACACAAGAACACTACTTTGGTTATCACATTCAAACGTGAAAAAATCATGAGCTAAATGCAATGTTGGAGTATGCTGATAACTATTCCCACACCCGTTCTGTCAGGGGTGTGTAAAACACAGTTTACTGACAACAGTGAGGAAACACGATAACTATAGGGGTCAGCCCCTTTTTTGTGACTTCCGGTACTGATCAGTGGTTCGTACGTACAGAAAAAGCTGCAGCTTTGTATAAACATGAGACAGAACACACATTCAATATTTATCCATAGGGAAACTGGATTTATATCAACGTTCTCATTTAAATTCTTTTCGGTGCCATCAGCATTGAAGATGTCTTGAAATGAACTGTGACAGCGATCAAAAGTACATGTTTTATCTAATCACGTTCTCAATTCCGTTGTTTATGTAAGCAATATGGTCCTTCGTACTTTGTTGCTTATTTATTTCCTAAATAAGCGCATTGTATCTTTATAATGAAGAGAGCGCTGAGGTCATCACTGAGAGAACCTTTCCTGGCACAAAGACCTGTGATTTGGATCATTGGCGAATAAACCCCATTCCCAAACAAGATAAAGTTTTGATGAGTTGATGAAAGGGTGTCTTTTTAGACCCACTTGAACAATGGTATTCAGAAAACATTACATGCAAATAGAGGCCACATGTAGCCAATGTGTGAATTTTATGTTTATTTAGTTTGTGTTAAAGCCCCGTATTTAAAATCCAATTCGCCACTGTAACAGTTTCACTGTGATATTTCGTGTTTTAGTCCCCGTATTAATTTGTCCGATACTTTGTGATGCAACGTCAGTTTGCAGTGTATTATGTAACAGTCCTGCATGTAGTTCAACTTTGTATGATTATAACAATATATATTGCCTTTTGTTTGTTTTAGGTCCTGTTTGTAGCGCGCTATGTAACAAGTATTCCCATCGGTCGGTGGTAATCACAGGAGGTGTTGTGTTATGTACAAGTCTGATCATCACTTCGGTCTCACCTAGTCTGCCTTTCACCTATGCCAGCTTTGGAGTCTTAGGAGGTAAAGTAAATGAATGCCAAGATATATAATAAAGTAATACTTAACGTCACTTTTTTAAAAATATATTTTTTGTCTGGCAAGTCTTTATTAAAATTATTTTAATTTATTTTACTATACGCTAATTATCTGTAACACTTTTTTTCAGAATATCATAATTAGACATTCAGAAGACCAACTTCCTAACAGTACTTTCATGTAAATCATTTTTGGCTGAATTTCATTTCTTCGATTTTTCTATAATATCAAAATGACATTAATGATTAATCAGCCTTATAAATGAGCAAATGTCACTTTGCTATGTTGTGATGGGTATTTGTAAGGTAAAGGAATAAACTAATTCCTGATATTATGTGTGTACTTGGTGTTAACAGGCTTAGGCAGGCTTCTAGCGTACGCCCCAGCAGTAGTTATAGTCGGACAGTACTTTAACAAAAAGAGAGGTCTTGCTGTTGGCATTGCAACGTCTGGTGTTGGATTTGGCTCTTTCTTTTTCCCCACCATCATTGAGACCCTGTTCAACTTTTACAGTTTCTTTGGGGCTTTTCTGATTTTGGGAGCTGTGATGCTGAATATTTCTGTTTGTGGGTGTTTGTTTAGGCCCCTCTGGCTCCATTTAAAGATGATTGCGCATGAAACAAGGTATGTGTATGACAAACGTGGATATTTTGCAGCATGTTTTTGAATTAATACATGTAAGATTTTAAATTATATATCAAAAACCT